ACGCCCCTCGCATGTGCGTTTTGCGAAACTATTACAACTTAAATTTGAGTTTTATTAACTTTAATATGCGTAACGCAGAAATACTTCAAAGCGAGCAAGAGTAAGTGTTTGCACGAGTAATGTCTTTGAAAGGACGTTAACCCGCAAAATGATTTATTTCATGCGGTAATGATATGAATATTCAGTATCTTTTACAAAGTCACGAATATGACTCTGTTTTCATGAATGGCAATGGAATTGGAAGCACGATACGTATTCAATTTTCTCAGCTGGAATTATAACTTAAATTTCAAAATAATACTTATTAGTTGTTCTGTATATGCATAAAGGAAAAAATAGTAATAAAGATAAAGCTAACATAAAGTCAATAGAGATTATTGTTCGTTATACAGAAATTACCTTAAACGTTGACAAAGCGTGTATAAGCAATCACGTGTTCGCCGCATTCGAAAATTTAAGGTAATTATTATCTCCTAGAAATCCGTCATGAAAGTAGTCAATGCTAAAAAAGTAGCGTATTCATTCACTAGTGACAACTCCGCATAATAATTTAGTACAGTTAAACAACTTACCAGTGAATACTATTTCAAAGCAACCGTCACTTAGCCCATACGTAACAATGCAACTAATTCAGCCCTATTAGGCATTGATTGCAGACACGGTCGCACACAATTGAGGCTCGTTTACAGTTGGCGCTTTGCCGTTTCGAATGATTGCCTTATGCCCGGTTTCTGAAGTTTACGGTTAAACTCAGATTAGCTATTAGTTCAATAAAGTTATGTTTAACATAAACTTCGGTTAACTATCACTGCGTTTCTGAATACTCAACGAACCATTCAATAACTATGAAACCGATAAGTAGTTCAATAGTAGATCAAGTTTAAAATTAAATTTATTTTAAATTAATAATATTTGTTCTTTATTTTAAATTATAACAATATTTTTTCGATGTAACTAAGTGGTTAAGCGCTGTTTTGGCAGCAAATTTGATAACGTTTGTTAATCATCAGCGAATGTGTCGACGGCATCATTGTCAAATAAATAGGTACTTCAAAAGCTGTTATCTCATTCTCATTGTCCTAGCGTTGACTTTGTTGTTTTGTATTGGGCGTGGTAATATTTGTTCACTTTCTTTGTTTTAATTATAAGTTTAGTTAAATGATCTTGGCTGTCGTTGCTAACTTTAACCATTCTATTTAAAAAAGAATCAATAATTAAAATTTTAATATTTCTCATCGAAGTAGCTAAGATCTTTATATTTTGTATTCGACAACAAAAGACGGATGGGACCTCTGTAGAGGCGAATAAATAAGCTTGGATGGCATTAAAAATAAATGTAATGTAGATTTTTCCTTTGAACGATTTTAATGCTTTGGTCTCACCGGTAATTTATTTTAATAAAAAGACGAATTGACCTAAAAGTTGTAGCTCTTAAGAAATAAAACGTCAAATAAAGTTATGGAAACGATAAACGGCACTAATTGGTCAGTTAGGTTAACCTAAGTTTAAACTGAGTTTCTCCGGTACTCCGTGGCTGGACAGACGTCACGGCGATCAGACGACGCAGGTTCTTTCGGGACATGGCTGTTTCGGGAGTACCTGTGCCGCTTGGCGGGGAAGGAGCCAACAGCGATTTGTGGCTACTGCGACGTATGTGCCGAGGAGACGGCACAACACGCACTGAACACGCACCCAGCCTGAGCGGGAGCAGCACCGAGAGCTGAGAGCTATCGTGGGGCACGATCTCTCGTTGCCTGCCGTGGTTCGCGCTATGGTGTACAGCGTGAGGTCGTGGGGTGCCGTCCTTGCATTCTGCGAGGACATAATCACCCGGAAAGAGGCCGCGGAGAGGGAAAGGGACTGCCACCCTGGAAACCCGCCGCCGGAGAACAGGGCGCAGGTGGCTGGCCTACGCGCGCAACCTTCCCCCCTGATAGCAAGCCCCGGGGCGGCAGATGTGGGACTAACTACTTATTTCCCGCGGAGGGCTTGAGAGGGGTGCCATGTCCATTGTACCGACACGGCACCATTCGGCTGGACCGGGTCTCTAAGCACCCGTATGGAGGAGGACTGAGAAGGCCACAGTCGCGCCGAGGTTCGCGGAAGATTGCGTAGATGATGACAGCGCAGGTACAACGTGGGTTTTTAAGTGGGTACCCCGTAACTCCCACATACCCCTGCTGCCTACCCACAAGGCGGCGGGGGATGAATAAATGGATTTTTCCCGCGTTTAAACGGAGTAGGTCGATTTGTAGTGTTACATACTACAAACCGACTTTTGGAGTAACTCAGTCGGCTAATGTCGGTTTCGTAGAGTGTTTATCCTTATCACGCACTGTCGATGTGCAATATTTATCGCAGAGTACTGCAAACTTTTACGGACAATAGATTGAGAAATAGCAGTCAAAATTAAAAATTATTTGAACGTTTTCCTTCCTAAAAATGCGAAACTTCCTGGTGCGATCCTTTACACCAGTACGAACACATCAAGAGGTAGAACAAAAAAATGTACGAAAAGTAGTAAACACTAATAATTTAATCATCTATGACTCTTTTCACAAATAAAATTGAGGCAAAATTGAATCTAAGGGTTTTAATAAAACTGGACACTTACTACTGTTGCTTTAGAGAATTGTTGTACCGTGAATAGTGACTGGTACAAGGCTATTTTTTAATCGGAAGTTATTGAGGAACTGCGTAACATAAGCACACGGCCCGACAGACAAACGAATTTTTGAAGTAGAACATCATACATGCATCCTGCATACAGTCCCGACCTGGCACCTTGTGAATTTTTTCTGTTGCGTAAAAATTAAGAACCTACGCAGTCAACGATTTTCATCACCGGAAGAGGATGTAGAAGAGTATGAGAAAAACACGGTTATGAGGTCACCATGGAGGAGTGGCAAATATTTACACAATTGGTTAAATCGTATGAAAACTGTGCATTTATGAAAAGGAAGAATATTTTGAGAAACAATAAATTCATTCTTGACCTTTAGTGCGTTTTGAACTTTTACTACGCCTCGCGCAGCATTGCTCCATCTAGACAAGTATATTTTATATAATCAAAGTAATAAAGATACAAGGGTTTCTCAAAGTAACTCTGTCTGTTACGCCCTTCACGACTTAACCGCAGAACCAGTTTTGATGAATTTTGGTATAAATATAGATAAGACCTTGCAGAAGAAAACTTGAAGTACTTACTAATCCTGAGGAGACAAAGTCGTGGGCTTCAGCTAATTAAATATAAAATAAATATTATGTAGGTAGGTGTAATTTTAACATTTCTAGTTCTTTGAGCTTCACATTCATGAACTAAGTACATAATTACATAAATTAGTAACGGAAATTACTATCTTTATTTAATAAAAAATATAATAAGTGAAAATAATTCATTTAGGTTTAATTACTGTTTACATATTATATTCTAGAAAATTTTTTTGAAGATTTTATAATGCAATTTTGTTAAAATAATACAATTTATTTGGTTTTTATAACTATTATATGCTTTCAATTAAATTTGGATATTTATTATTAATAATTGTTGATTAAAGTTCATTTTGTTATTGATTAAACCTCTTATATATTTCTCTTCTAACATCATAATTTTTTTTAAGAGAGAAATATCCAATCTTGTACTTTTGTTTCTGTTTCCAAAGAACTTATTTCAGATCATAGTCCTTGAGAGAAACTCTAAGCTGAGTGAATTTCAGTTTGCGGACTAGTCCCACCGTGAATGTGCTAGTAGGACACATGAATGGACACCATTGCCTTAACGCACTGTAGAGTTGACGACGTAAAACCCTGATAGAGTACCCAGCCAAATTCTTCAGTCAATTTCTCCCTCTAAGTCAATGGACATTTTGGTGGAGTTTCCTGTAACACTTTAGTTCTCTAGTTGATGTATCTATTAATGTATAATGGTGTATAATGGTTTGTCCATAATCATACAAAGACCAATTCTCCTAAAAGATTTAGCTAGATCAATTAACATGATTCCTGAAATGAGTCCATCATCAAGACTATGTTGCCGTTGATGTTGAAGCCTGCTTACGGATGCAAGAACTTGCAACATAGGGACTGGTTATACTATTAAGACTTCTACATATCCTGCCACATTCTGTGAATGTAGTCTATGATGCTAAATCCTTCGTGTAACCCAGTCGTCTTCAATGAAGATCTAATCAAGTAACCTTACAAGGCGGTCTGTGATGACTCTCGAAAAGAAATGCAACTTGTTCTTGCTACCCTTGTAAACCTTTTGCAATCAATCTCACTTTTTCTAAATACCATACCAATCAATCTACAAAGAGTGTAATATTTTTATGTAGCATAATTAACAACCTTAAAATGTTATTGTGAAAGATATTGGTCCCTACAATTTTATTTACTTACATACCTATCAGATGACAACATTTCTAAGTTTTAGTGAACAGAATTATACTGCATAAACTGTCAACAATAAACTCATTTATGATAAAATGCTATCAACTGTAGATTTTATCCACAATACCTAGCATAATTCATAATGTGATTGTTATTGTCAATAACAAAAGAGTGTTAGTTTAGACACATTTTTTTTTGTTCAGTTTAATAGTTATTATCAGTTTACAGTTCATGAGCTTTTGTTTCATAAAAAGGTACATAAAAAAATTGACTTTGACTTTGAAAATAAGTAGATTTATGCCCCATAGTTTTTCCACCTATAACTATCAAAACTCTTTATAGCTAATTAATCAAAAGCAGTTAATATATAACGTATATAAATAAAATTGTAACATGTTGTACCAAAAATATATTATTACTATTATGTAGAGGTTAGTTATTGGTTTAAATTCACTGGTAATCGCAAATTCTAACACAAAGATAAACTAACTTGAAATAAACAGCAGATTACAATGATTAAGACAATTCACAGTCGAGATTACTATTGTAATAGGCCTCAAAGTAGCACTGTGTTGGTATTTTATTATAATAAACATTGAAAGAACACTCACCACTTTCTATATACGGCAGGGCGAGCAGCAAAAATACTATATATCCAATTTCACTAAACATTGTAGCTTGCAAACGCACTCTTTTTGTATCACTAAGTCATTGCACACACAGCTGATTTTCAAACCACACAAAACCTTTGTCTGTTTTTGACAAAAACGCATGCGCGTGCAAACAATATTTTTTATTTACATTACAACAATTCCTAATATCCACTCATCACGTTTACAACTACAGTAACACTGAAGAACTTAGAACACTTTACACTTCCATAAACGTTGAATGAAATGATAAATAACAACAAAAATCATAAATATAGTGCTGGCACTGAATTTTTAAACATAAAACGTACAACACAATAAATTAAAAAAAATCCGCACCGCCTTATTGTTCCATGTTTTGTTTAATTTACACTAATAACTTAACAATAAAATTAGTACATAAGTAAATTCGGACCACCACAATCGCTTGCCTGACTGACATAATGGAATGATTGCAATTTACCATTCAAGAACTCATTCCTGGGATATATTCACTAGTGAAAAATCTAACCAATGACCGATCATTGTCAAAATTCGAGATTGGTCAAATGATATAAAATAAATCGGTACGTAAAATTTCAAGTGGAAACAACCGAACTTAATCGAATAATCGTACCGTACATCCAAAGAGAAATCGTACAGACGTTTTTTGTTTTTAAAAATCCACAGATTAAATATACATAAAGGCATTAGCATTACTATAAACAATAATCCATAATACTAGATTTAAAAATATGTTCCATAATAAAATATTGATAAAATTTATCTAATTTAAAATTCGTTTTCCATTGATTTAACATTTTGAGGTAAGATAATTTGTTGTTAATATTTGTATATGGAATATTTTTAATTCGTTAATGATTTAATAAGAAATGTTAATAGAAACCGTCGGCGAACGATGGTATGATTTTTAGAAGTTACCGATGAACGAATCGTAAAATAGCATAAATTAACTTGTTGGCCTACATGAGACGGTAGATAACGGTAAACGAAGATTTAAGCTCGTTCATTTAATTTCATTATTTCATTTAACGCTGACATTTACCACAGAGTTGATTTAGGAATAGAGATACCGCTCGCAAAATCACCGGTCACATATTCCAAACCGTAGACGGAGAAAACAATAAACTAAATCACAGATGCATTCTCTTTTACACCGAAACGAAAAAGTTATACGGCAGAATAAGATGTGTGAAAGAGATATACATTTGTTTATTTTTTGTCTATGTCGTTTTAACCCGCAGGCCCGCAGTTTCAAGCCAGGGTTGAATTTTGTACTATAAAGAAAGAAGAAAAAAAAATTATAAGTAAGTTCATTGCTGAAATATTGATTTCTTGATTGAATATATATATATTCGAATAGATATATATATATATATTAGATTGAATATATATATATCTGGAAATTCTCTGAAAGCTCGGTCATCTAGGTACTACATATAGAATAAAACTATTTCGTTTAATATTGATGAAGTATTTACGGGGATTATTTTTCGATACTCCGCTTGTTCGATCAGTAACTTTATCTATCGCAGTCTATGTAGGCGTAAACGTAGTGATTACATTCTATTTGTATGTAGGTAATAGAGATCATAGATGTCAAACAGTACGGAAGTTTTAATTTATTTATGGATGGCACTCTTTTTCAAAATTCAAACTGATAACAATTGTCTGCAGGTTTTTGAGTAAAAAAATTTTTTAACTTCTATAATGAAAAATCAATTACCCTAGGCTCTAGCCTACTTAGTCTGCTGGTAAATCCACCACTGAAGCAAAGAAAATTTTCTGTAAAAATAAAAATAGTTTCGGTTAATAATAAAAATAGTTTCGGTTTTATTATCGATGATAAAACTATGAACCAATAGGATAGCCAAATTCTTTATTAATATCACTGACCTAAGATTTTTATTTAAAAATGATGTTCATTTCGAATTTGGCTAATTTAAATAGCTAGCTGCCCTTTTACCATCGCCGACTCTCGCCCTGAGTAGCCTAAATGGCAACAAATAGCCAACGTCGGCCATACTGTTAATAGGGACTGTGAGAACCATTTCCACTATCTCCCTATTCCGTCCATTAGTTTGTTAAATATACGATGATACGTGGGACATTGACATTAATGAAATAAAGGACAACATAGTGTTACGTACATTTTTTGTTTAAAAAATACGGAACCTTATATACGAGATGCATATTCGTATGTCAATGTCCCAAAGAGTACATTTATATATCTGAAATCCCGTCACAACCTATATTTAACAGATTGTAGACAAGTACAGATGTAAATGAAGGCAGTACCTAAGGTCATCGTTACTCCACAGTTCAGTTTTCCTTTTTTGTCCATCGAATAATTATATTCTTTTATGCACAGGTAAATTATTTCGAGTTAGGTGTGCTCATATATTGGTGAAAGTATTTTTAAAGCATAGCTTACATTACTCTTATAATTAGAACATGATTGAGCATTATTAGCTTAGAAATATAACAAAAAACTATTTTACGTATACCTAATCTTCACTAAATCTTGGCTACTATATATCCACTAGCTTGTAAAAATTATATAGAAACTGATACAACGAAATCCTAGTTCAGTCATACTAATAACGAGATAGAGGTAATAGGATCTAAGGACAGGAAGCCAAATGAGATAGCGCGTGAATCTCCAATCGAGTCAGAGCTCGCCGCAGAACCCTAATACCGGGGTTGAATTTAGGTTTGATGAAAAGTATAGTACGAATATAATTGAAAAGGATAGTATTTGTAAAAAAATTATACTACACTTCATAACTTTGATTTTAACAGGCATTAATTAACTCCTATTCAAAGTTTATCAGTTCTTTAATATTAGTTTTATATTAAGAATTTTTTTTTACATATCCTCAGTAGGAATAAAATCAGTACAAAATACACTTTTTTACCATCTTTCATAGGGTCTATGGATTATGTTTATTTTTTATCTTAGTTTAGGAAATAATAAATGAATCCTACACACAACAACTCGGGACAGGACGATTCTCGCGAACAAACCTGATATCGAGGTGATGGGACCGGGTACAGTCGCGGGTATTTTTGGTTGACATTACCATTCCATATGACGAGAACTCCGTGAAAGCCGAAATAGATACGATGAAATATATGGACCTGGCTCACGAGGTGACCGACATGTGGGGTGGTGTCGACAGAAATTATCCCGATAGTCGTATCTGCGAACTGTTTAATTCCAGTCAGCCTCTCCGAACATCTAAGTCTGCGACTGGGACTCCGGGGCGAAACACTCCAAGCTCAAATGCAGAAGGCGGGGCTTCCGTCTGGTTGGGTCCTATTTATGTATGTATTATATACAAAGTTTATATTTATATTTTAATTTTTGTATAATATTTATGTTATTTATGCAATATATATATCTATATGTTTATTTTTATTTATAAACCCAACCAGACGAGAAAACAACTAAATATCCCCAAATAATAATAAACTTTATTTCTCAACACATGGGGGTTTGTACAATTTATAGAAAATACAACTAAATTTAAAGTTCACGGCAATGTGGGAGACTGATGCCTAAACTAAGCAAAGCCTGTATTTTAGACCATTAGGTCCCCCTCCCAGTTATAAATATGTACCCACTATAAATGAATTACAGTTAACCAAAAACAAAACATTCAATTTCATTAGAGAAGTGTGTGTGGGTGAGTATATATATATAATTTGTATACACACATACATATATATAATGTGTGTGTGTGTGTGTGTGTGTGTGTGTGTGTGTGTGTGTGTGTGCGCGCGCGTTTGTACGTGTGTATATGTGACGTTTGATGTGACGTCGTGCTTTAATTTATACGCCATCGATATTGCGCTTAAAACAAATTAATCAATAGAGAAAAATAACTCTCCACCTTATTAATAAGCAAAATTCGACCGGTCACCTGATTTTGAGAAAAAAAAATCAAATTTCGTTATTTTCCGCATTTTTTGTCGGAGAAAACTTTTTCAAAAGGGTGGCGTACTGCGGCAGCATAGCTTAAACTTAAAAGAACACGCTTAAAGTAATTAGAATAAGACAGAGGAATAAACAAGGACCGACAAATTTCCGTTCAGTTTTAGCGCTTTACTGAAACAAAATAAATAGTTAGAACACACTCATTTATTAATTTTACAAAGCATGTTGAATCGCGTTATTATACATAAAACCATAAAGGAAGAAAAGATCATAAAACTAAAACTATAATACAGTCGCTTTAACAATCAAGTTAAAAAATGTTTTAATTTTTTTTAATACAATAACTTTCATAGTCAGAAATCATTATAAGGAAAACTTGAGACAACTAGTCAAACGAGTCAGATACGTAATTAGTTTAAATTGTTTAAAATTTATTTTTTGAAGAAACAACAAGAATAATGGAAGTTTCTAAGGCATAAATGTAAAAATAATCAACAGGCGGATTAAATACATATCCAATGAATATATTATTATTATTACATTATATAAAAAACACAAATACATCTTAATCAATTATTATAGCTGAGCACTTTTTTTAATAACAGATGTATAACTTAAGAGAGTAGTTTAGGATTATTTCAGCCAAACGATAGGCACCCATATAAAAAGAATGTTTTAACAAGTAATTTTCCATGTATGTTTGTACCTCAGAACTTTCTACTTAGTGAACCGATTTTCATAAATCTTTTTTTATTTGAAAGCTGGCGCTTCCCTTGTGGACCCATATTATTCAATGAAATTTGATCTTGGGCTCCGGAGATATGTAGGGAACTCCTGTAAATTAATTATAAAATGAATAGAGAGCAAGATATTTGATGTCGGCTTTATTTTTCGTTAATAAAATATTGACTTGTAAAAGCTTGTAAGCTATTCACACATTTTAGTCTTTTGCAGCTTGGGGACTATGTAACCAGCAATGTATCAATATTGATTTTCACTAATTGAAAAACTTCAAGTGCTGATTCAGCACTTTCAACCACATATTATAGATATTTTGAAGCCATATTTCCTTCTTTTATTGG